TCCAGATTCCCAGATTCCCGTGTGGTGTGTGATGCATGAAATTTGATGATCACAGTAATTTGAAAAGCGCAATAAATAAGATTTAATACGATATTGTTAGAAATTAAAGATTATATTTTTGTGTTTATATTTAAATTATAAAAAAAAATGTTGAAAGTATTTATAAAATTAAAAGAAATTTATTAGTTTACACATAGTGTTTATACATGGGCATAATTTATTGAATTTGCAACATACTAATCAAAACAAATTTTACAAACGAAAAATTAAACCCTGCTTATGGTTAGGGTAAGTGTGGGTTTGGGATTGGGAAAGGTATAGTTTTACCAAAATTTCGCAAGGAATTGAATTGTTTTTGTTAGGAGCCAAAAGGTGGTTTCATAATCAAAATTTTGAGATATCTATATTGTCCATGTACATACACCCCGTGTATAAATAGAAATTGCCAATTAAAAAATATACTTTAAAAAAAACTTTTAATAAAAAATTTCGCCTAATACATAAAACACAATTATGATATATATTTATATGTTTTAAATTATAAAGTTAAATAAATTTTTATAAAGTTTCATTAGAATACAATAATTCCCATGATTTCTTAAAAAACTACATAAATTTCTATTTTAAAAATTTGACTAACGTGAACCCATATGCTTCAAACAAAATTGCAAAGCATGCTTTTCTTGTTATAATGTAGTTGTCTCATTATTCGGACCTTGTGTATAATTATCCGAGTATTCAGGTTTCTCATCATACTCACTTTCATTTAGTCTCCTCAAATAGCCTTCATTAATTAGGTCAATGACCGTCATGTATGTTTGGAACTGTGTCCCCAGCCCTGGCTGCTCGAACCAGGCTGTAATCGGGCCAGCCAACACCACAAAGGACTTGATGACTTGGTATACATAATAATTATATGGATATCGTCCTCCGACTGGTGTATTGAGATTGTTTGGCGGCAGTGCACGCTGGATATAGGGTGCGCCCAGTGGAGACAAATAGTTGCCAGTTTCGAACCCAAATCGATCGAGTTTCATACCAATAGGGAGAGATATGTTGCCTTGTATTGGTGTCGACGTGGTGCTGAGTAGGAAACCATTATAATCTGGGTAATGATAGCTGCCATCATCGGGATTGGTCCATTTTTCGAGGAAATCGCACGGACAGAGATCTCCGAAGCGAGAGTAGGTAGCGAGCTCCGTGGAGAGGGGGAAGTGCTCTGGGAGATTTATAGGACCCAAGCGCACGTCACCACAGACATAAAAATTAGGGTCTGTTACGTTTGCACAGGCACAGGGGTTGGGGCATTTTTTGGTCGGCTTAGAGTATTTCGGCTGTAGGTGAAATTTTATTTCAATAAATAGCACAAATAAGGATAATTGATGTATATGTCGTGACTGAAGACTGAAATTGCAATTTCAGTTGGCTGAAGTTACACCTACGTACCTAATTTTGCTAAATAATGCATGCAAGATGATCTAATTTCGAGGGCTAATTTCAATCAAGTGTAACTTTAGCCAACTGAAGTTGCAACTTCAGTCGGGTGTCAACTTCAATCACAACATATCGATATATATTCTTTTTTAAGGCAAAGATAAATGAATGAGCAAATAAGTTAAAGATTATTTACCTCGTAAACTGGGGGTGACCGAGGGAGAGCTGACATCGGGAGAAGTGCATTGAGAAGTAGGAGAGTAGTAAACCAGAAAAAATGCATATTGGAAATTAAAATCTCGATAAGTTACAATGTCAAATTCGGTTATTTACTTTTTTGTTAAAAATGGCAGGAAATCCTCCAAAATTTTTCTAGATTTTTTAGTAAAAAAGAAAGCAAAAGTGTCCCAAAAATGGTTACTCTTCATATATAGTTTTCTTATTCTTGATCTTGATGAGCTGTGCAGTTCATGTTCTTGATCTGTTTGTGTTGTGCTGAATAGGAGAACAGTTAATATTACACGAAATCGTAGCACAATTGAATTTTTTTATATTATTTTGCAGTACTTTTTTGAAAGCCTGAATAGTTTATCCTTTCTATGAAAACAATTGCATTAAGCAAACATGATTTGGAGACACTTCAGGAACAATTAGCCCAGTAAATAACTATCATATTATGTTGCACCAGGAACGATATCACGAATTATATGGTTACTATAGCAAGTTAAGTGATGTGCGTCCGCAAAATCTTAAATTCAATTGGACGATGCATAAAATGGGGAATATTTTGCGGTTAAGCTTCGCCATGTAATGTATTACACGGCCCTACATTTTGAAATTGTTGGTGATGATTTCTAAATTTGCATATTGTACAGGTTTAATCTTGATTGATGAATTCTAGCGGTCCACGGTTATCAAGTTTGGGACTGGTCTTTCTTAATTAGTAAGAACTGGTTCGAAAACTATTCTCTATCAATTATAATAAAATTGGCATTTCCCGCTTGTGATTATTATGTATTCCAATTAGTGTAATTTTAAATCGAGATTAGTTAGTGCTTTTTTCTTTTATTTTCTTTTTTTTATGATTTATCGATATTAGAAGTGTTAACCCGTTAGGGTTAAATCGATTTCTAACAGGGCATGAATTATTTTCTTAACTAGTTTGTGAGCGGAATGCACCGGGACTGAACCAGGCAGACAAATTGATGTCACCAGCTAATTCTTTTTTACTTTAAGGGCGTTTCTTGAATTTCAATATTTATCCTTAACGTTAACAGGTTTTTATCTTGATTGATTATCATTTAAGAAATTTGTTATTTTATTAGTGCTTTCTGTTGACTTTTGACTTTGAGCTAACCGAATGTATTATCTTTATTGTTTTCTTATATTTTTTACTATAATTGCTATAACAAGTAACCCGGAGTGGCTATGCTGAATTCATGTAATCGATTTTATTTGATTATGCGTTAGAATTAACAGGCCTCCGACTAAGGATTGAACCCGTATCTGGGTAACCCCGGTTACCCGCGGGTAGGCTGTGTAACCGGGTAAAGATTCTGCTACCCGGGTAGAAAAAGGGTAAATCAAATAAAAATATTTGGGGGAAATTACAGATAAAGGCCAAAAAACGAAATAATTACAAATAGGTGATATAAGCCCCATTTCGATGATTTGAGTATGATTGTAATATTGAAAATGCTCATTCGGCATTGGACAGTTATTTTTGTTGAATTTTCTTCTTATAAGTTCAGAATGAACAACAAAATAATCTGTTGGCTATTTGTTTACAAATGAAACAAGTTCATGCCCTTTACTATTTCAGTTAACAAGCGCTAAGTTGGCTATATTCATATAGTAAGGCTGATTCCTCATGATCCAACTTGTTAAACTTGTTTAACTTCTATGGAATATTCAAAGCGTGTGGATCGTGCCCTGTAAAGTTTACTGCGTCATCAGTTAAAGATATAGCAGGACTTCTACCTCGTGATATTATAAATCGTGTTCGTTCTGAAGTGGGGGCTTAGACATCATACACTGTAGCTTGGAGAAGTAAGGCCACATATAGTTAATTTTTCATTTTACATTGCAGGATTTCAAAAATCTGTCAGTCGGTTGGATTTTGTTTTTAATTCTGAATAATGAGCTATAACTCTAAAACATCTATTTAATCACAAATAAAACAATTAATCATGATACCACTACATTTAAATCGGCTAGTAACTTTGACGGTATATTTGGCCCTTATTTGTAATAATTTTAATTATTGGCTTTTATCTGTAATTATTTCATTTTGGGCTCTTATTTGTAAATTCCCCAAAATATTTTCTATGTTCTGTCCAAACGGGAACTATTCATTATGTATTTGTGTCATGTGATGTACATCAACCAATCAAATCGCATGATTTTAGGTTACAATTTACCTGGGTACTTACCCGGGTAGGCTAGCAATTACCCAACAGATAACCCGGGTTGGATTTTTTTAAACGGGTTCAATCCCTACCTCCAACATTTGAGGTTAGACAGATTTAATGTTGGCCTATTTATATATGAGAATACTAGTGCAACGGGTGGTGCTTCGTGCCACCTATCTTATTCAAGATTTGTTTTCCTACTCTGGTTTAAAAAAAAAAATACAAAATATGTTTGTGTTTAAAGTACTTTATAACTCATTATCACTGAAAAAAAGTTTCTTTGAATATTTCCATTTTATCTCTTTAATTTCTGTAAAAATTCCATGATTTTGCAACTTGATGTGGTAGACCAAAATTTCCGTCATTTAAGGTATAAATTCCATAAATATGCAACATTTACAGATAAAATATGGAATATAAAACACAGATTAACTTTTTTATAGGGTATACAAAACATATAAAACAAAAAAATTAAAAATTTATTCTGCTTAAATATGATGATATAACTCAGGTTGGGATATAATCCAGTGGAATATAACCCAGATATGAGTATAAATATCCTAAATCCCGAAATTGGATAACATTTTCAATAATATGACAATTTGGCCAAATTATAAATTTAGTTAGCCCAGACCAGGATTGTAAAATTACTGTAATTTATTGGTAAGTAACCAAAATGGTTACTTACAGTAAGTTAACACTATCAGAATCAAAATTCATAAAATTTTTGCTTATCAAATTATATCACAATTACTAATATTATTAATTGTCACATGATTTATTATAGTTCTTATATTGGTATTTTTGAGTAACTTAACTTACTAGTAACATACAATTAATAAACTAACAACACTGGTCCAGATATTAGGGTAGATCTGGTCATGTTTTATTTAGGCTGTTCCAATTAACAATCGGGACTAATTTGTTATTTGCAAAAAAATTTCTTAGTCATAATAATTTGGTAATTATATCATAATTGCATAGTGATAACCTGATTTATTAAATTAACTAAATATCATAACTTGTAACAGGTTCTCTATTTTTTTACACCAGTTCTGATTGGGCATTTGTAAATACCATTTCTGATTGGACTAAGTAGACTATACCACAATTCTACTGCCAATCAAATTATAAGATCAGGTGTAACATATAATTTTCAAAAAAATTGAAGTTTTTGAAGTTTTTTCAAAAATTAGCCAGTAACTTAAAATTTTGGTTACAAAACCACCTTTCATGTTCTAACAAAAAAATCCTTGCAAAATTTTATTATATAAATTATTCTATTTGACCTTTGTACTATTTCAACAATACTTCTATTAGGCTACACAAATTTAATTAATTGATTTTCATATCATGAACGGAGGTCTAGTGACACGGCTGCACGGATTTTTTTTTTTTTGTAAAAAAATTTTTTTAAAAAAATAGATATAAAACACAATAGAAAAAAGTTCTTTCT